ATGGCAACATTTTTGTTTACTTTTTAAGTTGTGTGCACTCTTGTACACGATRGGGGTTTGCTGGCGACTAATGTTAACCGCAGCTCACCTTCTTTATTTGGGTCATTACTATTAAGCAACATATGCAAATGTTATAGACCTAAGACTAGGTGGCAACATTGCCTATTATCTTAAAAATTATTTTAAATTAGTAAGGCAGAGTGGCAACCTTGCCTGTTAACTTTACAGAATTATGTCTAGAGACGATATGGCAACATTTTTGTTTACAAAACAATGATTAGGCAAAATATGATTAATTTATATTAATTTAACGAGGAGTGGTTTCCGATGATACGTGGGTGATAACTTTTGATGACCTGGAGTTTCAAGTCCGGGCTGGCGGTGTGAATGTGTTCGTGATGGCTTGCAATGCAATTGGCATAAGGCAGGGCTTCATCCGGCGATGCTGGGATGCTGGTACACAATGAGTTGAGGATGCATATGCGCTCAGCACTGCCAGGACAAGCCTGCAATAAGATACGCGCCACTCCACTATCAGACTCTAATATGCGCATAGGTTGCTGTTGCGGATATAGTAGTAGCTGTGTTAAAATTAGTTGGCTCTTTATAAGAAGGGCAGTCTTTATAGCTCGCGGCATGAGGGCCCGAGCAGTTGGCACACTTCGCTGGCGTTTGATCGCCTTTTTGCTTGGCACAGTCCGTGGAGGCATGATTTGCAGGCAAAGGGGCGACGGAAATAATTCTGGCACCTTTGACATTGAGAAACTTCGCTTGACTTATATGGCCTCTTAATTTTGACCCGCTGATTGCCAATTGCATTAACTTGCAATAACTCAGCGTTATTTGCACTGGCGACCAGCTCTACCTTGAAGAGATCAAGCGGCTCCTTTGAAAAGCGAGATTTAATGCCTCTTAAAAAGCGAACTTGGTGCCCTAATTTGGCTAATTGCTCACGGATCCAGTGGTCCGGAGTGGAATGATGCAAATGTCGAATTATGGCTCTGTAGCCGCACTCGCATTTCAATTGACATGTGTAGTTTTCGACATTATTTTCGCCTAGGTACTTTACCAGTTTACGATGAGTAGCNTACATGAACAGCTGACCTGCAGCTGCATGATGAGGGGAAGAGTACGGGGATACTCTTTATTTATTTAATACTTCACAATAGCATTTCTTATGAATATAAATAGCGCCTATGAGATAATTAAAATCTAAAAAGGACTATATTTGTCGAAACTTTTTTTTTTTAAAGTTTGTGCACATCTGTACACTATGGGGGCTTGCTGGCGACTAATGTTAGCCGCAGCTCGCCTTCTTTATTTGCGTCATTACTATTTGAGCAACATATGCAAATGTTATAAACTTAAGACTAGGTGGCAACATTGCCTATTATCTTAATGTTATTTTGATTAATAGGGCAGGGTGGCAACCTTGCCTGTTAACAGAGTTATTTCTAGTGACAATATGGCAACTTTCTTCTTTGTTTACAAAGCAATGAATGGGAAAATATGATGATATAAATTAATAAAGAGTGGTTTCCAATGATGATAACTTTGGTGATTTGGAGTTTCAAGTCCGGGCTGGGGGTGTGATTGTGTTAAAGATGGCTGATGAGTACATATGTGGATGATAGACGAAGTTGTGGTGGCGAGTAACCAGGTTGGCAGAAGAGTTATGCAGTGTTAGTTGATGTGTGAAGTGTGTGCTGATTAAAGCGTGTTGAAGATGAGGTGTATATATAGGAGATAGCTGAGTTGTAGTATGACTAAAATCCATGGATCCAGTAGTGTTTGCGAGTGATAGCTTGATGAGGATGTACTTGCTGCAACGGGCATAGAGCAACACATTAAGGCGGCAGTACATTCTAGCCGGAAAGTGCACTGACTAGCTGTGTAGGCAGGGATGCTGGCACACAATAAATTGTGGTTGCATATGCCTGAGCACAGTCAGGACAATCTAGCCCAAATGCAGGCCACTCAATCCAGTTGTAGGAGATGCATGAGATGCATCTGTGTCGATAGTGGAGTCTGAGTTGGTGTTTATAGAATGGTGGTGTCCGGGCTGAGTGAAGTTGGTGTAGTAGCTGTTATATGTGTGTGCTGCTTGAGACGTATTGATATTGCGAAAAACACGCTACAGCCTGCGAGATGCGTGTGTGGGTGATGATTGAATTGTAGTCGGCAAGTCCAAGAACAGTGAAGCAGTTGGTGTTAACAGAAGGTGATGTCTATGTTCTGTTATGCGTTTTTCAGCTGGCTATTGGGCAGAGATTACAAACAGCAACGCGCGCCCACAAGAAGGTACCCGGAGGGCTGTATGGACAGAGATGCTGGTACCCAATAGATTGGGGTAGCATATGACCCAGCACAGCCAGGACAATCCAGTTCGCGCGCGCGCCTGTCCACTCAAACCCTAATTGATCACGAAGTGCTGCTGCGGCCAAAGAAGTTGCTGTATAGCCGTTTGTGGGAAGGAGAAGTATCCAACGATGGCAAGTACTGTGCATGTGTGCTGAATTAGGTGTGTTATTGCGAAGAACGGGGCACAGCTGGTGATGCGCCGCAAAGCAGTAGCAAACACAACCATCGGGCACGCGCACAGGTAGGCTGTTTATAAAGGTTGTTGTTCCGCAGTCAAGTGCGGCAGGAGGTGTGGTGAGCTCTTACATGGTCATCCGCAGGTATGTATTTCTACCAGGTAAGGCTGTGTTGGCAAGCGAGATTTTTTTTAAATTGTGTGCACGCTTGTGACACATTGGGGGTTCGCTCGCGACTATTTCTAGCCACAGCT